TGTTAATGACCTGTTGTTTTCTTCTTGTATGATGTTCTTGATGTCATCTCACAACTCTTCTGGTGTTTAGTCATTAGGGTCTAAATCATCAATTCTGTTCTTGAGATGGTCTTTAGATTCAGGTGGGATACATACAAGGCCATATCTAGACTGTTGTGGACTTGTTTTCATTTTCTTCAGCTTCAGCCTGAACTTGCATATGAGCAATTGGTGGTCTTTTCCACAGTCTGCCCTGTCTTGTTTTGGCTGATGATATGGAGCTTTTCCACCATCTCTTCCACAGATATTGTTATTTTGGTTTCTGTGTATTCCATCTGGTGAGGTCCATATGTACAATAATTTCTTGCTTAAAAAAGATTGCAGATACCTTTTTAAAGCAATGAATGAGTCATCTGCCTTGCAAAATTCTATCATGTAATCTCTAGCATCATTTCTGTCACCAAGGCCTTATTTTCCAACTATTGATCTTTTCCCTTTGTTTCCAACCTTTGCATTTCAATCACTAGTAATTATCAATACATCTGAATTCCATGTTTGATCAATTTCACACTGAACTGGTAAAATTCCTCAATTTCATTGTTATTGACTTTAGTGGTTGGTGCATAAATTTGAATAATACCAGTACTAACTGGTATTACTTGTAGGTGTATGGATTTTATTTTCTCACAGACAGCATTTAACTATTTAACTTCAAGATAGACATTGAAAAGTTCTTTTTGATCATGAATGCGATGCCATTCCTCTTCAATTTGTCATTCCTAGCATAGTAAACTATATGATTGTGAGATTCAAAATGGATAATAACAGTCCATTTCAGCTCACTAATGTGTAGAATGGAGTCCTGGTGTGGCGCTGTGGGCTAATGCATCAGACTGAAAAGCCGTTTCAACTGTAAGGTTGGTGGTTCAAGCTCACCAGCTGCTCCTTGGAAACCCTATACAGGTTCGCTATAGGTCAGAATCAACTTGATAGCACTTAACAACAACAACCACAAATGTGTAGGATGGAGTCCTGGTGTGGCACTGTGGGTTAATGTGCAGGACTGCAAGGTCAGTTTGAACTACTAGATCTGTGGTTCAAGCTCACCAGCCACTCCTCAGAAACCCTTAGGGTTGCTCTGAGTCGATGGCTTAACAACAACAATGCCTAGGATATCAATGTTTATGCATTTTATTTCATCTTTTGACAACTTCCAAGTTTCCTAGATTCATACATGTTACAGTCCATGTTCCGATTGTTAATGGATGTTTGCAGTTGTTTCTCATTTTGAGTTGTGCCCCATCAGCAAATGACAGTACCACCGAAAGCTTTACTCCGTCCGTGTCATCATAGTCACCACTACTCTGAGGAAGCAGCTCTTTTCCAGTCCCATTTTGAGTGTCTTCCAACCTGAGTGGCTCATCTTCCAACACTATATTGTTTGCCATAATTTGTTTTTTACTAGTCTCTGAAACTTATTTATAGTTAAACATTTTTTTTATTATGAACTTCAAGAAGAAATTCAACCGCTACATACCTTTAATGTGATAATAAACTTAATATTCTCAGAGCTTCAGAATATTCTCTTATCCACTTATTGTTGTTGTTAATTGCCATCGAATTGGTTCCAAATCACTGTAACCCTGTATAGAGTTTCTGAGTAGCATCTGGTGGGCTTGAACCACCAAACTTTTGGTTTAAAGTATAATGTTTATCCTACAGTGACACACCAGGACTCTTTATCTGCTCTAGGTTTCCTTATTTGCTTGTTCAAAAGCCCAACATTAACTTTTCTGAACTTAGTATGTATACATAGCATATTACACAAAGGATGACAGTTATGCGCTCTGTGCTCCATTTTCCCTAAATTGACCACAACAGCAGCAGCTGCAACAATAACACCTCCATACAGACGTACATGGAGTCCTGGTGTGACACTACAGGACCAGCACTGGACTGCTAACTGCAAGGCAGTGGTTCAAACCCACCAGCTGCTCCTTGGAAACCCTATACTAGATAGGTATGAGTTAGAACCTACTCGACAGCATTTAATAACGAAAATACATAGACATACAATACATAGACACACAAGAAAAAGAGATATTCTCAGAATTTTATTGGAAAGTACTATTGCTTTGAAAATTCTTATTGACAGGATGACTACTTACCCCAATGAGCAAAGGCCTCTTGTTTTTTGTGACTCAGTGTATTTCTTACTATCTCTGAGCCATTCACTCTTATTCCTCATGCTATGGAATTTCATGAAAATTCCATAGCATAGGAGACTTTGAGCATGATATTTTGGGCATAACCAGAGGAGTAATAAATCACTGCATTTACTGGTGTGGCGCTGTGGGTTAATGTGCCAGACTGCAAAGCCATTTGAACTGCAAGGTCGGTGGTTCAAACTCACCAGCTGCTCCTCGGAAACCCTTATCCAGGGTCGCTATGGGTTGAAATCGACTCGACGGCATTCAACAACAATAACAAAGCTTCCCAAGCCATGTTTGTTCAATTTTTTCCCATACCTTTATAAATTTTATATGCAGTTTTTCTATTCAAAATGTGTCACCAATTCTAAAAGAATAGATTATTGGGATCTTTAGATAAGACTGAAGGTGAAGAAGTTTGTGGTGCTGTAGGATAAGCACTGAATTGTTAGCAGTTCAAACACACCAGTCACTCAGTGGGAGAAAGATAAGGCTGTCTGCTCTTGTAAAGATTTACAGTCTTAAGAACCCTATGTTATTGTTGTTATGTGCTGTGGAGTCGGTCCCGACTCATAGTGACCCTGAACAGGATTTCTGAGGCTACAGATCTTTACGGGACCAGAAAGCCTCATCATTCTCCCGCGGAACAGCTAGTAGTTTCGAACTGCCAACTTTGAGGTTAGCAGCCCGATTCGTAACCACTACGCTACCAGAGCTCCTTTAAGAACCCTATACAGGGTCGTTAAGAGTCTGAATCGACTTGGTGGCAGCGAATTTTTAAAGACTCCAGTGTTTTAAACAAGTGAGCCCTCTGTTTTCAGATGTCTCTGAAAAGACATCTCACCTCTCACCTAGGACCCCTGTCATTTTAATTAGGCTAATTACTTTCCCCTTAATCTTGTTGTGCATTTGCCCAGAAGTTTTTTAAGCTTGTATGCTTTGTTTCTTTAAATTCTTTGCATCAATTCCTCTTTCTCTGAGAAATAATTGATTGATTTGGTCCATGTGAATAAAAAATGAAATGTATTTAATATTCCATAAAGTAGTGGTAATTCAGACGCTGATTGCCTATGTATTGGTTTTCCCACATAATACTCTGTAAATGTTTAGAGGGTGGACTTTGTTTAGAGTTGAATTCATATCCAACCCCACTGCTGTCAAGTCATCTGACTCATAGCGACCTGACCTATAGAAGAGAACAGAACTACTTCAAAGGGTTCCCAAGACTGTAATCTGGAGTCCCGGTGTGGTGCTGTAAGATAAGCATTGTACTGTTCACCACTAGATCGGTGGTTCATATGCACCAGCCACTTCATGGAAACACTATACAGTGTCAGTATGCGTCAGAAGCAGCTCAACAGCACTTAACTATAACACCCACCATCTTGACATCAACAGACTGATGCATCTTGCTCCTGGCTGGTGGGTTCGAACCACCAACCTTTTGGCTAGCAGCCTCACCACTGTTCCCTGACCTCACACCTAGACTCTGCCAACCTTTAGTAGTGTGCCTTAAAAAGTTTACTTAACCTCTCTAAACCTGTCTGTCTTCTTTGTAAATTTGGGCATGACTAACTGTCCCTATCTTATAGATTGTATTCAAGAATGTTAGGCACTTGGCACAGAGATTGGTACATAACTATCTCTCAAAAGCAAATAGTGATTATGTTGTTTAAGTGTTTGGGAAAGATTTTTAAGCCTATGTTTTCTTGAGTCTGTTACAACTTTTCATAAAAGTAAAGGAAGAATAAAACATTCCTACATTCTCTATTTGTTTTCACATAGCTAGATTTTGGGTAAAATATATGGTTTATTGAGCAAATTTATAATTTAATGATCTAGTATTTTGTGGACACAGACTCAGAAATAAAATATAAAACAAAAGATAGTTTACATCAAAATTCCAGCACAAGCCTTTTAGTTACCATTGAATCTGCTTTTATTTGATTTTATACACCAGTGAAAATCCTGAATTTAATCTAAATAGTCTTTCATTTTTAAAAAGAAATTGCTCTCCCTTGTAGGAAGATGGGCAAATGGACACTTTTGTTACAATAAATGATTCCCTTTTTATTTAGACTAAGCAACGTGGGGATTCCTGGCGTGTGGGCTTTTCATATCGGCAGCACCTCCCTACTGGACAATGTCAGACCAGCAATAGTTGAAGGGGACCTTTCCAAATCCCGCTCCTTGGCATCTCTGGAACATTCCTTCAGCCATGATGCTGCTCTGGAAAGTGACTATACTGATGACAATCTGGATTATTATGATGAGAATGAAGAGGAAATTGAATATCCCCCAAGTGAACCAGAGGAGGCAGGGAATGGCCATGGCTCTATTGATGTTTCCTTCCACTCAAAAGTTGATTCAAGGACTTTAGGAGGTGATGTCTCTCCACCAGACTCTGCAGTGCTCCCACATCCAACACCTAGTGGTTGGCCATTCTATCCTGAAACAGAATCCACCACCCGGGATCCTCAAACCAAAGAGGGGACACCTGTGGGGAAGACAGATATTTTAGATATAAATGGCCAAGTTCAGCATTCTGAACAGACAGAGACCAGAAGCCCAGCTTCTTCACCAGAGATTGACACGGGTTCACTGAATCCCTCACAGGAAGCCTCACTACTCTATCCTGAAAATGAACATACGCAGCCTTACCCAGGTGGAGGGGCGGTGCCATCAGCAGTAGATGTTCCTCCAGCTCATCCTGGTGGAAAAGTTGTCCTTCAACATTACCCCATACCTGATTTTACTGCACCTCGGAGTGGTGGAAGGTCTGTGGTAGCAGTGGAAGACAACATCAGTTCCAACACCAAGGGTAAGTAGATTCAAACACCGATGCTGAGATTTCATTTTTAAGATGATGGTTTTAGGTAGAGTCAGGATTTTTCTTTCAAGTGAGTAAGTGAAAAGTTTAGTGAAAATGAATATTGGGACTCATCTTTAAACCTTCAAGAGCTATAGCAAAATTTTCTTTGCCAACCAAATCTTGGCAGGCATATTGAATTTTGAGTCTATTGACTATTAATAATGGGTTTTTTAATATGAGTCTCATGAAGTGAGTGGGGGAAGAAATGAGTTGCTTGTGCCAACTAAGCTCTCAAGTGTAATGAAGTTATTTCTATTTCAGTTTGAAAGTTCAGCAAAGGTAAACTTCACACCCATTACAGTGTTAGAGAGCTTCGCTGTTCTTGCTGTTAGGTGCCATTGAGTCGGTTCCAATTGATAGCGACTCTGTGTACAACAGAATGAACCACTGCGTGGCCTATGCCCTCCTCATAATCATTGCTGTGTTTGTTGCATCCACTGTTTCAATCCATCCATATTGAGCGCCTTCCTCTTTTTTGCTAAACTTTTACTTTACCAAGCATGATGTTCTTCTCCAGGGACTGGTCCCTCCTGGTAACATGTCCAAAGTAAGTTAAAGTTTTTCCATCCTTGCTTTTAAGAAGCATTCTGGCTGTATTTCTTCCAACACAGATTTGTTTATTCTTCTGTCAAAGGGCTTAGTGCTTTCATTTGAAGCAGTTAGTTGTACCTGCTCAGATAAACATGCCAGAATCTTACTCTGTGATTGATTGGGCAGTCCTTCAGTTTCCCATGGCAGTACAGATGCATTTTTTGGTGTGTAGGAGTGGAGAACCCACGGGGAAAGAAAACTAAAATCCTGTGTCTATTGTCGTTTCTGGTTCATGGCTGTGCAGCTGTGATAGTCCCCTCTCGGGAATCCTGTCCTCATTTCATGCCTCACTGGAGTTGAGAGGTGAGGAGTGAGATGTCTTAGAGAATGTCATTTGAAGCAGTGGTTAATTAATGCAGACATGAAGCTCATGTCGACTTCTTTCCCTCCTTGTGATTTGTTATGTCAGGGTTATAAATATGTGAATGGGAAATTGACCGTAGATGCAGTCAGTTTGTTCCAGTGACTGCTCATCTGATCCCTGATACAAGGAAAGGAATCAGAGGATGAAAGTGGTCTTCAGAACAACTTTTTAATTTTTTTAAACCGTTTCTGTTTCCGAATGCTTTTGTGGCAAAAAATCATATTGATTTAACAACGAGTCTCCTGGATTCTTCTGCTGTCATACTGATTTTCCTTGGAGAAGGTCTAATTTCAGGACATAAGAAAATCTTTTGCATCTAGTATAGTATTGTATAATGATTAAGAGGGAAAGCCTTGATGTCACATTTAAGTTTGAATTGTGGCTACTACACTAGTTGGGTGACCTGAGGCAACTTATGTAACCCCCAGACCTCGGATTTCTCATAATTCTGTTGGGAGGATTGAATGAGATAATGTATATGATGCTGTTAGAGTAATGTCTGTCCTAACCAAACCACTTACTGTCGAGTCGATTCTAAATCACGTGTGCCAGAAAGCTGATGCCATGTGTGTTCCATAGGGTTTTCAGTAGCTGAGCTTTGGAAAGCAGACTTCCAAGCCTTTCGTCCGAGGCAACTCTGGGTGGATTCAGACTTACAACCTTTTGGTTAACATCCAAGCGCCTTCATCATTTGCATCACCTAGCCTCGGAAACCCTGTACAGGGTCGCTATGAGTTGGAACCGATTCCACGGCACATGACACCACCACCACCAACAGGTTCTAGTTGGTTCTCAATAAATGGAGGCTGCTTTTACTCATTGTGTTGTTGTTGTTGTTGTTGTTAGGTTCTGTCAGCTGCTAGACAGTTTCATCTCATAGCAATCCTGTATTGGGTTTCCGAGGAGTGGCTGGTGAGTTTGAACCATCGACCTTGCGATTCAGACTGACCTTGTGGTCCAGTGTTTATCCTCCAGCACCACACCAGGATGCCTTACTCATTGTAGAAAGACTTAAAACCATAGGAATAGGAGGTGGGCTGGGGGAGGAGCGAAGAACATGCTTACTAGAGAGTTTGGTCTTGATCTGTGATTCAGTGGTCAATATTTTTGTAAAGTTGAAGATCTGATTTTTGAAAGATGTCAGAACCTTAATATCCCTCTAACAATCTACTGAATTTTCAGTATGACCTGTATATTTGAAAAACTTATAAAGCCAAGAATAAAAAATTTTCAGCAAAGGGATTTTGAGGTAATGATGCATTCCTGGTCTTTTCATTTGTGGATTTTGGTTTCCTGCCCTGAGAAGAGCTTGGGAATACTAAACAGCTGATTCATGGAGTCATTTATTAATGAGTTGAGAAGGGGCTTTATGTACTGCTCTGAGCTGTTAGAGGTTGAGGTCACTGGATTAATGGTAGAGGAGGCTTGAGGGATTAGCCATGGAGAAGAACGGAAGGTGGTGGCTGTAAACTTTGTGGAACATGAACTATGATAATTAACAGCTGCTAGCAGGAGTTTAGTATTGGAGCTCTGGTAGCATAGTGGTTACAAATCGGGCTGTGAAACCGTAAAATCAGCTGTTCTGCAGGAGAAAGATGAGGCTTTCTGCTCCCATAAAGATTTACAGCTTCGGAAACCCTGTACAGGGTCGCTATGGGTCGGAACTGACTCCATGGCACATAACCACCTCCAGCAGCAGGAGTTTAGTATTGAACTCTTGGAAACAACAAGATGCATATGAAAAGACTGGTTAATATACTGAAACATTTAGAAAAAAATTTAACCAGCAATCTGAGCATTGAGTAAAGAATAATTAGTGAGTATCATGTTAGAGAGTAGCAAGAGAAACAAAGAAGTAAGCCCTTAGTTTTACCTCAAGCTTAACAGAGAGTGCATAAAATATAGACTAACGCAGCTGGTAAGTAATTTGGGGGCAGGGAGGGCAGCTCAAACAAAACATTGGAGTTCCAGCCAGCACATCGGGTAAAAGCATACTCACTCAGGGAAAGTTGGTGGCACATGGCTATCAAAGACTCACACAGAACCTTGCCCACTAGCTGCCTGGCCATGAGGCATTCTGACTGACTTTTCCTATCGATGGAGCATTAAACAGTGTGGATTTTGGCATCAGATGGACTTGGGCTTGATTCCCATCTTAGCTGTGTGCTTTTAAGCAAGATATATACTCAGTTTGACCCTCCTTTTCCTCAACTGTAAAATGGAGATCATACAGACCTACGTTTTATAGTTGGTTTTTGAGCAGGATATATAGTCTGTTTGATCCTCCTTTTCCTCAACTGTAAAATGGAGATAATTCAGACCTCGTTAACTTGGAGTGAGAATGAAATTTAGATATCTGTAGTATGGAAAACACTATGCCCAATACATCTCTGGTTTCCTTGTTAGCTTCATAATAGTGACTTTTCTAAATCTAAAAATGAAAGTAAGATTTTAGTCAAAGGCTCAGAAAGTATCTCTGCTCCCTCTTTTTACTGTTAATTGTTGTTCCAACTCATAGCGATGCTGCATGGGGTTTCTTAGGAGCAGCTGGTGGGTTTGAATGCCAACCTTGCAGTTAGCTAGCTGGCTGGCTGTGTGCTGTCGAGTCGGTTCCGACTCATAGCAACCCTCTATAGGGTTTCTGAGGCTGGAAATCCTCACAGGAACAGAAAGCCTCATCTTTCTCCCATGAGCTGCCTGGTGGACTTGAACTGCTGACCTTGTGGTTACCAACCCAACTTACTATACTACGAGGGCTCTTTTGCAGTTAGTAGTCCTATGCTTATCCTACAGTATCACACCAGCACTCCTTAGTTTTAATTGTTGCTGTTGTTAAGTGTTTTCAAGTCAGTTCTGACCCATAGCGACCCTCTATAGGGTTTCCAAGGAAGGACTGCTGAGCTTGGACCACTAACCTTGCAATTCATACCAACTTTGCAGCCCAGCACATTAGCCCACAGTGCCCACCAGGACTCCTACTTTTAATTGTTGTTGTAGTTAGGTGCTGTTGAGTCAATTCCAACCCATAGCGACCCTGTATAGGGTTTCCAAGGAGTAGCTAGCTGGTGAGCTTAAACCACCAACCTTGCAGTTCAAACGACTTTGCAGTCTGACGCATTTAGCCTGCAGCGCTACTCCAGGGCTCCTACTCTTAATTAAGGGCTCTTTATTTAAAGATCCTTCTTTTGGTTCTGAAATTGATTTCTCAGTTTCACTTTAGTTCTAGCCTTGTATTATTTGCTTCCCTGCCCCAGTTTTCATAGACCACAGGCCAGCAATTATACAGATGTCCCTTGTCTGAGTGTGCCCCAGTTTTCATAGATCACAGGCCAGCGATTATACAGATGTCCCTTGTCTGAGTGTCTTCTCCACAGAACTCTGTTAGCTTGGTCAACAAGCCAAAAGTCATTTAAGTACCTACCATGTACCCTTTTCTGAACCTAGTGCCTAGGCATTAGTAGATGTTTTCACTAATGTTTACTGAGTGCTCACTGGTTCTCTAGAGTAAGCACTTGCCTTTTTATTCCCTTATCAAGTTTACTTCTCACAAGAGCCCTGTGTAAGATAAATGATATTATTATGGTTCCTATTTTAAAGAAAAAAAACTGAAGCCCAGAAATACTGAGTGACTTTTCTGAGTTTATGGAACTCATAAGAGATGGCCAAGGTTCAAAGTAAGTCCTGAAAGAATTAGAGAAAGATGTAAGGTAACATAGAAAAGGAACACTGTCTTTATGTGCATGTGTGTGTGTGTGTGTGTGTGTGTGTATGTGTTGTTACCACCAGATGAGTCATTGTGAAAAAAGGGAGGGGCTTGGAGTTAAGGGAGGGGAAGTAGGGAAATATCTTTCTGGAAGGAAGTGACACATGGAGAGAAAGAAAGAGACACACACACACAGAGAAGAAAGGCCGTCTTAGTTGCCAGAGTGAACTTCCACTGATTTGGACCAGGGACGGCCTCTATTTTGAGTAGAAAGAAACAAAGTTGACTTAC